GAACCCCCTCCGCTGATTTAATGATATGTTGAACCTCTGGAGCATTACGGACATAGAGACGCTTCGAATCTGGAAAACCTTCCGTATTTAACTCATCAACCACATTCTCTACACCTGCCAGCTCCCTTAGATGTAGCTCTTCAGCCTTCTTCAACAACATTTTAACTAAATCGTTAGAATTAATGGATGCATTTAAATGCAACTTCAATATTCTTGAGCTTCCAAAGGAACTATATTGGTCTTCCCACTTACTTCCGATGAATATTTTGAATTTTTTCAAATTTTCAAAGAACAAATCTTTTGGGATCATCCGAATATCAGGAATGCATACCTCTAAATTAGTCAATTTCTTCAAATGCTTCAACTCAGCAAGGCTCGCATTTCTTTGATTTCCATTTTCCTCAACCTCCCATCCGTGGAAGCTGTTTCCCAGGTACAGTTCCTCTAATATGGACATACTTGCCAAGACACATGGGGGAATTATTTTGAGTTTGATACAGGCACTCAGATCTAATAACTTTAGCTGAGTCAACTGCCCAATTTCCCTTGGAAGCTCTTCAAACTCAGACAACCCAAGGCTAAGAATTTCTAAATTCTTCAGCTCTCCAATAATGCGTATGTCCCCCAACACGCTTTGATCCAAACATAATGTATGGAGGTTCTGCAAGAGGCAAATTGATGAAGGCAGGGATGACAAATGCATGTGAGTCAAATCCAATACCTTGAGCCTTGGCATTCCCTTGAAAAAGTTTGCAGGAATTTGCAGAGAAGGATTTTTATTAGCCAACCAAAAGAGAGTAAGATGAGGGCTTTCTAACTCTTCTGGTAACCCATCAACATTAGCATATCGCATCCATATCCATTTGAAATCTTTCTTTGCCTCCATGTCTGACCACTCTTTCGGTACATGATCACCTGTTAGCAGCAACCCATGACGATCCCTACTTGTAATTGATACAGCCACATCATGGATAAGGTCATGCATATCAAAACAATTGTTATCAGAATCATCAATAAGCAAAGAAGAGGCTCTGAGCTTGCTTATCAAAGTAAACACTTCATCTCGTGCTTCCTCTATGGTGTTAGCAAATAAGCCTAAGCCTACACCATACTTCAACAAGTCTTGAATTGAGGCCTTGTGACCCAGTAGGCAGCAAAGCAAAAATGTTTTCTTGAGCTTCTCACTTTCCAAACTAGAGTAACTGACCTCAATAGCAGAATAAACATTTGCAGATATGCCATCAAAGTTTTCTGAAGAGGGCTTTCTTAGTTTTCTCAAAGCATCCCTCCATTCAAAAGGCTTCTTATTTTTCAAAGCCTTTGCAATTGTTGTAATTGCAAGGGGCAAGCCCCCACATTCCCGGACAATCTCAATGGCCGTACCGTGTAGCTCCTCACTCTCTGCTCTGTCACCAACTATCTTTTTAAGCAACTCCCATGCTTCTTCAAATTTTAATTGATGAAGTGAAAAGTGCTGTGGAGAATCCATCAGATCTGATAAAACATCAGAATCTCTGGATGTCAGCAAAATTTTGCATTCTACATATCCTTCTCTAGACGAGCTCCCCTCAATCTTTGTTGGGTTGTTTCTAAGAGGAATTCCAAGCTCCTCCAAATCTATTCCAGGCACCCAAATATCATCCAAAATGATTAAAACCTTCTTCATATTCTTCAGCCTGTCTTTAATACGTTCAGCAGCGTTCTGAGTTGTAATTCCATTAGGAAGCTGATCAAGACCCAAGCCACGGGCAATTTCATCTTGAATTTTTTTCAATTCTGCACTCCTTGAAACAAGAGCCATAGCTACCGCATCGAAAAGCTTGTCTTGCTCTGCCTTTCTTTTTACTTCTTTGGCCAGCATCGTCTTCCCCACGCCAGGCATCCCGTGTACGCCTATAATGCTGCTGCTTTGACTTTGCAGTGCCTCCATGATCCTCTCCAGAACATCCTTTCTTGAGTAAAAGTCCTCGAAACCTTTGACAGGCGCAGGCACTTCTTCTGGTGGAGCAGGAGTGTGGGAAAGGGCGAGGTTGAATCCACGAGCTTCATTCACAAGTTTATCAATAGTCTTGGAATTCTCCTCTGCTTTTTTGCTGAGTTGGTAACGAGATTTGGGATTGAGACGCAGCCCAAAGAAACACTTCTTCTTGGCATTTCCTTCAGCATCAGCTACTAATTTGTCTGCGGCTTCAATGCGATCGTTGGCGCTGGTCAGCCAATTCCTGAGCTTTTGTACAATCTTTTCCCCTCTTCTTTCCACACCTTCAGCATAGTTCTCCGCAGTGTCTTTCTCATCCTTTAGCTCAGCAACTTTGTTCTTCAAATAGTCAACATTATCGTCGCACTTGAACACAAGAATAATTGGCTTTGAGATCAGAGTGAAAATTCCACTGAACAAGTTCCCAACAAAATTTCCGGCAGCATTCTGACCAAACGCACAAAAACAAGGCTCGGGCATCTTCTAATTTTTTCGTTTTCCTTTTTTTTTTTTTTTTTGAGTTTGGAAAAATATATAGGTGCCAAACAAGAATAAAGACAGAACAAAAGAAGCAAATGAATCAGATGAGGATATGAAACAAAGGATGAAAATAGTTAAAATAAGCTGATTTTTAGTAAAGGGAGGCAAAATGAGGTGCTGAGAGTAGCGGAAGAAGGATTGATCCGCGCAAACAATGGAGGGAACGAGTTGGGATGAAATCAAATCAAATCAAATGAAAAGAAAGGGTGAGAAATGAGAAACGTGCGAGGATGAGGTGATCTGTGTAATGGGATGCGAAGATGCTGCGCAGAGAGTGGCAGCAGAAGATGATTGAAAAAAGGATTGAACAGAGAAAATGAAGGAAACAAGTTGGATGAAAGCAAATCAAATAAAATGGCGACGAAAGTGGGCTGAAAAGAGGGACCGATTGAGCAAAAGCATGGCATGAGAGGAATCGAAGTGACCCTGAGTGATTTATTTTGTGCAGAAAAAAAGAAGTTAATGGCAAAAGAGAAATTAGTGCTGCTGAATATAATATCGATTGATTATTATACAAATTTTTAGAAATTTTAAAGGTTAAATGCTTAATTTGGTCCCTTAACTTTAAGAAATGAATATTTTTGGTCCTTCAACAATTTTTTGCACTTTTTTGATCCCTTAACTATACGAAATGCACTCCGTTAGTCCTTCTGTTAATTTGGGCCGTTAACCTTGCTTATGTGGCATTTTTTATATTTTTTTTGATGACGTGGAGAGCAAAATTTAAAAAAGTGATGACATGGATAAAATTTTTGCTATGTCAGATGCTACCAGGCGAAAACACACTAAATCCATGCAAATGGTCCCACATCACCACTAACAATTGCTCTTTGCCCATCAATTATGAAATTCGACGGAACCAGCAAATCTGAGTTCGATATAATCCAAAAAATAAGTTCCATCGAATCCAGCTCAATTCACTTAACTCAATTGTCCAAAAATCCCTCGCAACAACCTGCAATTTGAATAATCTCTTGG